CTTGGCCCTAAAATGCGGCTTGAGGACGCTTAGGATTTAGGGTTTAGGGGCTTAAGGCGTTATTATTATTATTACTGTTATTATTATTATTACTATTATTAGTAGTAGTAGTAGTAGCAGTAGCAGTAGTAGTAGTAGTAGTATTGTCATTATTAGTATTATTACTACTATGATTATCATTAATATTGTTTTGATGGGCTTCCCCGCCAGGCGTGTGCCACATGTCACATGCGAAGGGTATTTCAGGTGAACGGACGAGGCTTGAGGCTTTAAGATGAGATATCTCGGGCTCCGCCAGACTTCGCTCCCCAACAGTCGAAGCAGTCGAAAGACTAACTTCGTGTGGAGCCCTGACCTTGATCAACTTAGCGGCTTAAAACTCAGCAAAAGGCAGAGCCTGAATGGATGAAAGAGACTTTGGTGGAGACCCCAAAACATCTCTGTAAGGGGGGTCCGGCCCTCTGACTTAGATCCGTCTTGGGTTCTGTGAAGGCTTGCTGGGGGGAAGGTGTTCACGTGCCACCTGGAGCCAGTGCCCATTCCAGCCATCATCTGTTTCACAAACCAACGGGTGCTCGCCTCTTCAGGATGCCCTTGGTTGAACCATATCAAAGAGTCTCGGAAGGGCTGAACCGCGTGAGTAGGAATGGCCACAAAGGCCTGGAAAGAGAATCCCCAAAAAGCCCCTATTGTTCGAGTACTCACGCGAGAAGCCAATGGCTGTGACGGATCCACGGCACTGCCTGAGCTTGAAACCCCCCTGCCAGCCTTGAATAACATACAGCTTGTTCAGAGCAGAGAAGCAAAGTGGTTCAGACTTCTGTATAACACCCTAGAAACCCCTACCCTTAAAGGATCCCTTTAAAGGAACCTTATAGTGAGGACGGGTCCACGGTCATGGTCAACCGCGGACACCTGCCGGCCCACCGCCTGGACCGTGCCACACGTCCCGAAGTGCCCACGCCGCGGCCTCGGCAGTTGCAAAGGACTTTCATAAGACTTCCCAGAGATCCCAAGAATCCCCTTAATTAAGGAATAGACCCTAAGCCTTTAAATTTTGTTATTTTAACAATACTCTAAAATCATGATATAAGGCCCCTATAATTTAAGGTATCTTCCTCATTTAAGGGGTATTGGGCTCTCTGGGCTTCGCCTGTCAATGGCAGGTGTCGGGGGAGCGAGGTTCACGTGATGTGGCACTGAGGCTTCCGATGGCACAAGGTTGTCGCCCCAAAGGCCGAGACCTCATGCGTAAAGGCGGCAACACCTCCGGAATCCTAGCCCTGAAAGGTTAAAAACTTCAAGCTTCGACCCTAAATGCCCTAAAAGCCCCCAAGACAATCCAGATCCGAACGTTCATCTCCGATCCTTCAGTGACCCTTCGCCCAGATGGGTCCGAGTGCGGGGAGTCCTCGAGGAGGGCGAAATCCCGAATTTGATCGGGAGGCGCGGCTCGAGGGAATCCGGGGGTTTCCACCCTTGAACCATGAACTTCTAGGTTGTCGGGGCGAGGGGACTAGGCATTTCTTAAGCTTTCCAGTGAAGGCCCGAGGGCCCCAACTCATGCGTAGTTTCAGGCGCGATAAGAAGTGGTATGTTTTCCTGATGATACAAACCAAGGTCAGAGTTGAGGGTTTGCATATTGGACTAGTGCAATAGGGTCCAGGGCTTTGGGTCTTAGACATACCATTGGGAGTGTGCGGGGCTATACATGAAATCGGATTTCGTGGTGCAGGCAGGAACCGATTAGCTGAGAGTTTCGGAGTCGCAGGCATGATTCGAGACTATGATGATTTGAAGTGAATTCGAGTTTACGCCAAGCCCAACTTGTGAAGCGTCTTGCTGGACCTGTTCAAAACTGCTCCAGGCATAGTGTCCTGTTTTGCTACGCTCTGAGCCCAAACCCTGAATTGAACTTCCGTTCTTCAATTGAAAAAAGGCGGTGCTGGACTGAGCTCTTTGCAGCCTATGACAGGATTTCCCTCATGAACCTCAGGGTTCACTGGCCCGACAGCAGCTTTGCTCCTCTCTGATAAGCATCGCCCACGGCTCAGCCTCTGAGCCATCAGAAATGCAGGAAAAACCCACGAGATAGCTCTCTGACCCCAGCAACGATCCATTTTCTCCTTGTCACATCTGCCCATGTATTTTTACGTCAACCCCTTGTCAGCTCTGCTGTCGCTCTGCTGTCGGCTTCCCGGCCCACCATTTCGAAGATCAAGCTGTGCCAGGTATGCTCGAGTCAAGAACCGGCCTGACAAGAACCAGGCGGCACCCGAAGAGTTTTCCGTCTCAAGACGGCTTTGGGAGTCCAATTTAAAAGCTTCAGAGGTGCAGGGATTTTAGCAACTAGGCTGCCATTTGAGTGTGAGCACTGTAACCCCAATTAGGGTACCTGTAACATCCTATTAACCATGACCAAGAGTAGCCTCTAGCACGACTCTCCTTGCCAAGTCCTCCGATCCTTCACGTTTTCTGGAGGCTTCGGGGCGGTTGTGTGAATTGCAAGGTTGCGCAAGCTCTTCTTCCCATACTACTCATTACTGTCGAGGCTCCTTTCAAAGCAGGGATCATGATGAAGTTGGACCAGGTATACTCCGAGTAACAATCAAAAACCAAACTCGGAGACAAAAACCCTCAGAGTTCCAGGCAGTGCACTTAGCTGTATCATCTGCCAGCAGAAGCTCTGAGTGTAATGTCAGACCGTACCTTACATGCCCCGAGTCCTCAGCTTTTCTTTACACTGATGCCTTAAACCCTCACACCATCATTCCGATTCTGACTCGATGGAAGCAGTTCAGCAGTCCCTAAGAAGAAGAAGAAGACTGTTCCAGTTGAGAAGACCCCTTCCTGGCGGCAGTTCCTCTACCTCATCGCCCCGGAGTTGGCCGAGAACGCCAATGCCCGGAATCACGAAGAGTGCAGCCAGGCCGTTCAGGGTGTCCAGATGTCACCAACACATACGTTGAGTACATGCATATACAGCATATTCGTGTACATACAGATATATGTCTATAATGTGTATACACAGACAGACAGACAGACAGACAGACAGACAGACCGAGAGAGGGAGAGAGAGACACGTGCATACTCATACACAAAGAGAGAGAGAGAGAGAGAGAGAGAGAGAGAGAGAGAGAGAGAGGTCATGAATGTAGAGAAGAAGATGAATGATTAGCACATGGACAGAGAAAAATGCGTGCGGCTCAACCTTCGCCAATAAGTAACCAATTCATGCCAGGTTCGTGAGGCTTCTCGTTGTGTACAGTCGTTGGGATTGTCCTGCAGTGCAGAAAGTCCTCCTAGCCATGGGAGCCTAGTATATGTATATGTATATGTATATGTATATGTATGTTTATATATATATATATACATGTGTATATATATATATATGTGTGTGTGTGTTCCTGAACTCTGAGATTGGACCACCTGAGCGGGAACTTGCTGCAAGGCTCTGGTGACGGCCATTGACGTTCTCTACGAGGCTGCCATGCTGACTTGTTGCTCCCGCTCTGTGTTGGAAGTGGCTTGGAAAAGAGACAACGAGGGTTTAGGGCTATATTGCCATGATTCCCGGATCCGCTAGTCAGGGCTCTGTCTTCCTGTCGCATCCCCCGCTTTGCAGCAAGAGGATAGCGTATCGCCTGAACTTCCATCCTACACCCTAAGAAAACGAAGCAAACACCTCAAGCCCAAGAGAGCTTGAAACCATGAAGGCCAAAACCTCACCGCCGAAGCCCAAGCTGCCGGCCAGCATGCTGCCTTGGCTCCTAGCAGGGTAGAAGGGAGCTCACGGACAGTTCTGCCCACGGCGCCTTGGGAGACGCAACCCGGCCGGAAGGATTGCAGAGTAATGGAGTTGGCCTTGTCCGTGTGCTTGGGGGCCATGCAGTCCGGATGTAAGCACTGCTGTTCGACAGATTTCTCACCTTGCGTAGCGGATGACTGGGTAAGTAAACCCTGGCACTCAAATCACCTTGAGCATAGAAGGAGTTTTTCAGACAGATCAAAACAAGAAGCAAAGCCTCGCACACCAGAGGCAGCCCGGCAGGCTTTCCAGCCACTTGTCAGAGTGGGGTTACATGGGTGTTCCATGGGTATTCCCTGTTAGAGCGCTCAGAATAGTGCGCGACTCTAAGGGCGGTGCCCTTTCTCCCTTGCCCCAGCACAATCTCTGTGGTCATTCTTTGAGGTCCTCTTTCTTTGTAGGTACCAGAAAGAACCCTTTAGCAGAAGCATGGAGGAGCATGTCCAGATCTGAAAAGATGAGGGGCTCGTTGCGGCATGTGTCCCCGTAGATTTGATCGGGCTTCTCATTCAGATGAACTCCCTCACTAGCGTTACAAGGCTGTTTTGCTTTACAGATGCCTTTGTGTGGGTTTGTTGAGGGCCTCATGAATCTTTGCAGATAATCTTAAAACTTTGGGTGTTTAGGTTCGTGGCTAGCAGCTAATATAGCTATTTATAGTTACACCCCTACACCCCCAACAAAAGCTCTGAAGCAACCCATCTTGTCTGGTTGTTGGATATGGGGAATGGGTGGTCTGGAGCAATAAAGGGGCATGAATAACTTCCCATGCTATTTGGGGGGTTCCTTACTATAATTATAGTATCCTAGTTATGAAGGCCCTACATTATTAATTTCTGAAAGTCGACACCTGTATCCTGAAGCCACCTCCGGAATCTCAGTGTTGCCCAAACCCGAAGCCGTTGATCCCGAACTGCGCACCCTGGACGACATGCGGCCACTAAGGCGGCAGCATGTGGATGAAGGAATGTTGCGTTTTTGGATAGAAGTCTTGCACGCACTGCTCACGTCCTTCCCCTCGCCTTGAGCTAGATCCGCTGGTGACTTCCAGACAAGCATCAAGCAGATGTCCCTGGATCCTGAGCACCAGCGCAGTGAAGATAGCAGTCATGGTACCAGATCTGAATAGCACCTTAGACTATGAGGACCCGTCGCTTGCTGACACCCAACCAGCCCATGATGCGCTGCCGTTTTGCTTGGTCAGAAGCCGTTGCATGACAGGTGAGCTCCAGCAGATTAGTTTGCAGCTCCTCTTGAACTAATTTCATGTTTCCTTCATCACACAGGGTGCTGTTCATGCGTGTCATGCTATGAGCACGGATGCCCGACACATGCATGTGAGACACATCTGAAAGAAACTTCAAGAGGCAAAAGTCAAAGAGGCAAGCTGTGTGCTTCAAGCCTGAACCTGGCAGCTTTCGACAAGGCTTTGCCAATGCAAGCTCACAAACCCGCGAGCCTTGAAACACCTTGCAACCAACATCTGCATGAATCTGAACACACTCTCAGCTTCATTTCAGCAGTCGCATGAGAAGAAGATAAAGCTCATGCCATACCATGGTAAGATGCAGCATATCTCCTGTAGCTTCCAGTTCGCACAGTCGACCAAGGAGCCTGCATTTGCCTTGAAGCCTTCGAGCTCGGCAGCAGATTGGGCCATGAACCGCAACAAGGCTCTTCTCGATGCTCTCATGGGCTTCTCGGTGTGAGACTAGCTCGATGTGCATGCTCGTCCCATCCAGAGTGAACGAGCTCAGTTCGTTGCGTATGTCAAGGCGCCAACCGCGATGCTTCCAAAAAGGATAAGCTCAACAGTCCTGACCTTACAGTGACACTGCATGCGATAGGCGCCAATGCTGTCGGATTCTTGCCACTGTTTCCAGATTGTTTCCTGTCCGGAATCGTTCAATGCAGACCCGCCTGCCTCAGCCTGCAGCACAGTCCGTCGGAACTGCTCTTGCAAGCAAACGTGCTATAGCTGGCGAGATGCATGCTTGGGAAGGTGTGACGCTGGTGCTCTTGCCCTTTTTTTAACTGTAGCATTGCGTTTTCTGGGAACCTTTCTCGCCTGTCTAGTGCCTGCAGCTCCCAGCTTATTACAAGGGGTTTAGGGGTTCAGGGTTTAGGGCAAGCATCCTGGAGTGATCACAAAGCTGCGGGCCTCTTTGCCTGTGTGCAGCGTGGAGTTGTTCAACGCACGAGATGTTGCTGCTTCAGGTGAGCCTGAGTTCAAGAAGGACTGCTAAACCTTGGTACTGCGCCTTTGATAAAGATGGCACTTGCGTTCGAAACCGCGATGCCTTGTGGAAGGACGAGTACTGCAAGTCCTTCCTTGTCGGGTACTGCCCGGGAAAAACGTTGGGCCGAGAAGTGGAGAGCGTGGGGGCCTTACAGTGCAAATTCTGAAGTGCTACAAGCCGTCACAAGTTCTTGGCGTCGGACAGCTTTTGAACTGTTGGCTCTTGCAACTAGCTGTAACTAGCTGAACGGCAAGCCAATTTGCCAAAAAGTGCACTGGTCCTGCTCAGCTCCGGGCGGAGTTTGACCCCAAGAGCGTGATCCCTCCTTGCAGGGCCCTCAGGCCTTTGCTCCTTTGGCTGCTGTGGGAGTGTATCCGAGTGTGCTGAGGTAACAAGCTCCATTCGATCGGAGTCAGAGAGGAGTTCAAAGCCCACAAAGACTATCAGAAATATAAACGCAGCTGAGCTGGATGACACTTTTCATGCATCTCCGCTTGCTTTTTCATGTGCTAGGGCGATCACACGAAACTCGGAGCAAAATAGCATCACTGGCTGTGTTTGTTCAGGCACTTCGTTTGTGTTCAGGGTGGTTGTTGAGAATTGGACGTCTTTTCCAGAATGGGATTCCCTTCACCACTCCGCACACGGCTAGAAGAAGGTGCCTTTGAAGGCATCCTGTCTTGAATTGATTGATTGGGACGGATTTAGAGCATCGCTCCTTGGACTTGGTCCTGCGATGACCCGCCGAGGCGGACACTAAGAAAAGTCAAAAGTGGCCAGAGTGGCAGCTGGATACAGTTCACTGCGAAACCATGTAGTCTTTTCGGAGCTCTTTGTCTTCAGGGCTTGTCAGCTTCGTTGCAAGCCAAGCCACATGTGGCCCGATGGGCTTGAGCCCTGTATTACACCCGTGCTGATATGCTGGCACAAGGCTGCGGCCGCCTGCGTACGTGGATCCGGGAGTTGAAACTCCGATGTCCAAGCAAACACTGCAAGAAACATTTCGCAGGTTTTTGAGGAGCAGTTCTGTGAAACTTGGCTGTCATAGCTTCAAGAGGATCCACCGTCTTGACCTGTAGCCGTGACAATACTGCCCACAAGGGGCCTCCGCACAAGAGCTCGAGCCTCAGTGCGCTTCCTGAGGTGGGAGGCCCGTCCGTGGTGCCAAAGTCGCAAATCCTGTGCAGCTGTCGTTTAGGGTTTGGGGTTTGGGGGTTCTGGAAAGTAGGATTCGGCACTTAATTTTCACTGGCAAGAATCAGCCCTATAAGCACCGGCATCTCATGTAATGGGCTCAATCCCCGAAAGCCAGGGCTTGGCGCCTGACGTGCGACTTTCTCCAGCTGATGCTAACTAAGGTAGATATGAGGATGATCTCCTCCATCTTATCGACAAAGGCATCAGGGAAGTTGAGGACAAGGTGGTCCGTTAAGCCTTTGGCTCTGTTTGATGGGGCTCTCTCCCACTCTCTCTGTCCTCGCTCTCTCTCTCTCTCTCTCTGTCTCTTTTTCTTTGCCTTCCCTGACTCTGACTTGCCTGCAGGTGGCACGAGAAAAGCGCAGGCCTTGCTCGGGGCTTCTCAAATTCGTCTAAGCTCCCCAGGGCCAAAACCGAGACTCTTGGAAAAGCAAGCGTGGGCCTGCCACCGCCGTCCGCGGACCCTCACCATTCTAAGATTGAGGCATGCTGTTTCACAGCGAATCCTGTAACTTGCCTGACCAAGTCGCTCTGAGTTGATTGGACGCTGGCCCGGAAGATCTCCCACTCAAGCCGAGGATGGACAGACGCATGAGAGCCGCTGTGAAAGCCATGAGATGTCTTTGCTGCCTATCGAAAGTACGTGTGCCATACCTCCCCGAAGACGTACGCAAACATAGAAACAGCTCTCTGGGTGCATCAGGCATACTGAAGGCATCGCAGTGATGACGGACCAGGACGGACGTTCATGTCATATGCCCTTTGAGCCCCCAAAGGAGCACCCACAAATAAGGCCCCTTTCGACTCTGGTTCCCAGGACCGGCTTTGCGAGATCTGTGGCCTAAAGTACAAGCTCCGCTTTGCGGACATCAACGTTCGAGAAACCGAGGGAGGGAAGTACAAGCCCGACATCCATCCGGAGTCCGATTACCACAAGAATTATGTCAAGCTGCGAGAAAAGCAGTGCCTCGGTGTCTTTCTTCCTAGCTCGCGCTTGCATAGCTCTACTTGTCACACGTGGTTTTGAGTATGGGATGTGCCATTCCGAAAAAGCCTAGCAGATAAGGATTGAGTACGAAAAAATCATCAAGGCGCGGTCAGACGGAGATGACAAAGCGGCAGACAAGGAGTCATGCCAGGGTTGCTGAAATCCCCTGCTGTGCCCTGAAATCAGGGAGTTGTGTCGAAAGGACGAAAAAGACAGAGACCGAAATCGGGACAACGGTGGACGCAGCGGCTCTCGCCGCCCTCGCGACGATGACCGTCGCCGCGACCGGGATGATGACGATCGTCGAGACCGTCGCGACAGGGACGAGGACGATCGCGACCGCAATGGGGACCGAGACCGTCGAGACCGTGGTCGTGACCGTGATGATGACCGCGATCGCCGCAGCAGCAGGAGGCAGGGCTTGCGATTTCTAGTAAGCTTCCTGATGTGTAGGCCAATACTATTTGAGAAACATGTGCATGACGGTTTCACCTCAACAAGCAAGCTCTTCCAGTGTGAGCCCGAATCCACTGAGAAGGAGCCGTGATGCTCGGGATGATGATCGAGACAGGCCATCTCTGCCTACCGCTGCACACTTGTGTCGGAGTTCTGGAGGATGCAGCTCAAGTCGAAGTTAAAATATGTCCATCCTCATGTGTCCCCGCAGGTGTCGCGGAAGTGCGGACAGGGACAGGGCCTTTCTCGTTTTGTTTTGGTCGGCTCCATCGCTTCCACGTGTCAGAGATGTAAAGCAGAGTGAACTTTGTGATCCTGGTACTCCTTCAAGGCAGCATGCATCAGGACCGTCGCCGCCGCTCCTACGACAGAAGTCGTAGCCGCCGACGCTGATCCCTCTGCATGTGTCCTGACAAGTGTCATCCCAAGAAACTACTCAGACTTCACTGCATCTCCACACACTTTGCACATCACCCATCCCGAAACATGCGCTCCTCATCTGGCCATCCTTGTATGGTTTTCGCAGTCCAGCGCACCATCGAAGTGCGCAGAATGTGTCACAGCGGAAGCCAGCGTCAGAGACTTGGAAGCGCGTTGAAAAAGCGAAGGCACATGCAAGTGAAGCGAAGCCGAGTTTGAAGAAATCCCACAGTGATGCTCAGAAGCTGGCACCTCTGAGACATGGGTGGACGAAGCCGGAAAGTTTGAAACGAAAACAAACACGCGCTCAAGAGTCGCCAAGACCCCCCGGATATAAGTTTCCTGCGATGTCATTGGAGGATGATTTCCGGGCCGGCTTCCGCCGGCAGCTGCCATACACGATGAAGCACAAGGAGGACCGAACGCGCCCTCGGTCCTAGGGGAGCATGTGCCCGGAATCTATTTTGACAGGACTATTTGCTGTTCTGGGCTGACGAGCATACTCATTTCAACTACGCTATGCAGTGGCCGGGGCCTCAGATTCAGCGATGCTGACTTGCCCCATGGCGGTCAGTCGTGGGTTTTCTTGCTCTTTGAGTGGCCGATGCCAGGTTTGGTATGGGGACTCTGATGATGGCCCGGCTCTTGCATTGCTGGAATCATTCCCCGTTTTGTATCGCAGAATCGGCCGCAGCCTGTCCCAGGTGATGACTTTCTACAAATTCGTGGAGGTGTCGAGGCTGGCCGCTGTATCCATGCAAACGGGAGCAGCAACCGGCCACTGTAAATCTAAGCAAGCAGGCAGTGCGATTGTGCTGTTGGTAAGACACTCGCAGGAACACAAGTCTTGAACAAACATGCCTTGCAAACGACTGCCACAGGTGGCGCTACTGACGCTCTGCTGGCTGGCGAAAAACCAGATGCGTTGGATCTGCCCGGAGCTCCCCCATGGTTTCCAGCATAACCTGCACCCGCCCGTAGTTGCGCTTGTACGGTCTCCCGATGTCGATTGGGCCGGACATGTAAGCAAATTGCATGTGGGCTTCCCTTAATGCTTGTGGGGAGGGGCTTAAGCGGGCACAAGCAAATCTTGCTCCCTTATATTCACTAGACATTTAAGTAAACCTTGATCTATCTGAGGCTTGGTGGTGAGTTGAGTGAACACTGCAGCAAATCTCGCCCCTTCTATGACATGCTTTCGAGCAAGCAGGTACCCAAACCAATTCTTGCTCTTGGGAGACGTTTTGCAGGGAAGTCGATCGCGAATTTCGCATTTAATTGAAACACATACCTGTGAGGTCTCTCTGCAAGTTTTGTTATTTGTGAATGGAGTTCTGTTGGAAATTTGCGCTTGAAATTGTGGTACGTATTATTATTTTTTCTTAACCCAATATTATTTCTGCTCCATAAATCAAAATGCTTTGAGCCGCCCTTCGGTAGCCTGCCCCAATTGTTTTGCTACGATTTTGGAAACTTGAACAGTCCATCCGGCACGACACAGGCATTTGTCGTAGTTTGTCCGTCGTCGACCCTCCGCAGCTGGCTCATCGTCCGGAGGGCATCGTCCATCGTTTTGTTGTGCGTCGTTCGTCCGTGTGATGTTGTTGTGGAGCCCATCGTCTTGTCGTTTGTCGTCGTCATGTCGAATATTTTTTGGTCTCTCGTATCGTCTGGTGTCGGTTTGTTTATTTGTGTTGTTGTCTTTGAATGCTTAGAGCTGTCGTAGTATTGTCGTCTTCGTTGCTATGATTATCCTCGTGGAGAGCATCGTTCTCTTTTCTATCATAATCGTATGAATTATTTTATTTTTTGAATTCCCGTTATTTTCGCGTTTTTCCATTTTGTGGCGGTGATTCGTTTCTTGTCATGACTGTGTTTTTGCAATCCACTATTTTCAGTGGTTTTGCATGTTGTGAGTGGTTGTGTCTGTGTTCTTGTGTCAATTGGTTATTAGCTTGTTGGTTGCGTCTGTGTTTCTGTGTCAATTGATTATTTTAGCTTGGTGCGTATATGTTGTTGTTTGGACTTACAAAATTTAGTTAAAATTGCTGCAAATTACGGGGTCTGTTTGTGAATACTGGGTCTGCGTGTCTGTCTCTTTATCTGTCTTTGTGCCTGTTAGTGTCAGTCTGTCTTTGTTTGTTTGTGTGGGTCTGTCAATGTGTGTCTGTTTGTTTGGATGTTGTGTCTGTTGGTCTGTGCCTATTTGTCTGCGTCTGTTTATCTGTCTATCTGTGTTTGTTTGTGCTTGTTTGTTCGTGCCCGCTTGTTCGTGTCCGTCTGTCTCTATCTGTCTGTGTTGCTGTTTGTGTGTCTCTGTGGGTATTTGGATGCGTCTGTTTATATTCTATTTGTGGTTCTTTGTCTTTGTCTATAAATTTTTGTGTGTCTCTATATTCTCTATTTATTTCTATCTCTCTATTTGTTTGTCTACTTGTTTGATATTTGTGTTCGTGAAATTATAGAAATTTGTTTGAATATATATATCTGTCTTTATATTAAGTTTGATATTATATATATATACAAAAATATCTCGATGTACGATTTGAAAATTTCTCGATATTCTCGATAATGAAATTAATATATTTTTCTTCAATAAAGGCTTTGATAATAGTTTATATTGATTCTTTTTTTCATAAATTCTGGATTCGTATTTTCTTATTTTAAAGTTGTATTTTTTTGCATTTTATTTTCGTATATTTCTCGAAATTTTTTAAAAAAATATTTTGAATTTGATTTCTTTTTTTTCATTTTAAATGATTTATGATTTGAATTTTGGATGTCTTTCTCTAATAAATTTATGAAAAATATATTTTTCTGAAATATATTATTTTTACAAAAATATAATTTAAATTTTTTTTTTATAAATAGATTAAGTAGACGAAGACAATGGTATTATATAAATATATGATAGATATAGGTTTTTCGATTTATTTTTGTTTTCTTCTATTATTTTCGATATATTAAAGATTTAGTTTTTATGATGAATTGGAACCGTTAATTATTTGTATTTTGAAGAAATGAAATAAACTAATTAATAAATCGA